CCCGCCCTCGGGTGCCATCTTGGGTGTGGCAGAGCGGGTTGGGCGTTGGGCTTCTGCCGGCCGGTCTGTGAGGAGGGAGAGCTGCGGGTGGAGGGAGGACTCGTCGCTTTGTTGTTGTTTGTTGAAGTTTCGTTTAAAGCTGTGCAGGTCACCGGGCAGGGCTGCGGAAGGGACGCTTTATCACGCTCAAGATGGAGGGGTAGTGCCCAGGCACTGCTGAGGGGAGACGTCTTCAGCCAGCGGGCAAAGTCCAGGCCACTTTCCCAGCTCAGTTTGCCTAGTGCCTGTGCGCTGCTGGGGTGGGAGCACGCACCCATTGTGCCCTTGGCTCTTGGGGCAGGTGCAGGGAGCAGTGTGGGGCTCAGCACGGTGGGTGTCGGTCCGGCCACCAAGTAGAGACCCGTGGTGGGGAAGGTGAAAGCAATCCCCTTTACCTGTAACCATGGCAGGCAGCGAGGCCGCAGGCAGGCCTGCTGCTGCCTGTGTGCTGGGCATAGACCTGGGCACTACGTCGGTGAAGACAGCCCTGTTGGTAGGGGCAGAGCGAGGGCAGGTAGTGGCAGAGAGCTGCTCCAGGGAGACGCAGGCACACACCAGTAGCCTGGAAGCTGGACCGCAGGTAAGGGGTGGCAGATAGCACTGCTGGCAATTTCAGGATACCGGCCTTGCTTTGTAGTGGCCGGGTTGTTCTGCTACATTGTGCAGACTTCAGTGGCTTTCCTGGATTGTTTTTGTGCCTAGATTGACAGATGGTTGCTGCGTGTGTCTGGATGTCTGAAAGTAGAACTAAAATGCTCTCTGTTTACTGTTCAAGAAAGCCAAGTACAGCTGCTTGATCTAAGAAAGACCCAGGTTTTGAAAAGTTTAATAAGACAATCTAAAAGTATTCTCCTATGAACCATCACTTTGTTTTTGATGCTACCAGTCAGGAAACAGCAACCTCTTGCCAACTGAAAGGCAATTTTGCACTTCAATGTGAGATGGAATCACAACTGGAAATTCCCCATGGAAATAACCAGGAACATGTACTCCTGTTAAAGATTTTTACATTCATTGTGTTGGTCAGCCTAAGAAAGGATGAATCAGAATCATAAAAATATGTATCAACATTCATCTAGTATTGCAGTGAGTCCAGGGGCTAATTTCTGAGCAAAGATACTAAACAGGCCCACCCTCCTCTCTATAATCATGTTTATGCAGCCAAAAGTATGTACGCGCAGATTAGTTCACATCTATATGTAGACTGTATTTGAATACTTTTGCTTATAATTTTCATACTGGTATATCACAAAGTAATCTGAATCTTCAAAAGTGTGAAGGCTGGAATACAGCTTCTCTTGTGGTACGGTTTGGTCAGTTTGCCGAATAGATCAGTTTGCTGGGAGTTCTAGGAATAGAGTTTCCAGAAACAAAGTATCAGCATCATCAAATCAACAGTAGATACAGAGGATCTTTAGGAAGATGTAAGGGAGACTGCATGCCAGTCAGAACACGCAGATGATCCTCTTTGTGAGGAAAAAGAAAAGCAATATATAAAGTGAACTGATGAAAGCATGTAGTGAGTATTAATGGATTTTTTAAAAAGGTATATTTGAGTATGGTAACTCGGGAAGTCAAGAATTATTTGGCCTTCGGTTTAAGAGGCTGTTGTCTCATTCTCAACTTGGTTTTTAGTTTTTGTGGTTTTGTGGGGGGTTTTTGCGTTTTTTTTTTTTCAGTTTAGTAGTGAATGTTATTCTAATACATGCTATTATGCTAAATTAATTCTGTTCTTCACTTCTGACTAGAGTAGCCTTGTTTAATAAATACAATGAGTGAATCCTAATGTTTTCATGCTCAGAGTAATGCTTTATGATTACAGGGAATGGAGCAGAATGTCCAGAGAATAATAAGAGCATTGAATGAATGCCTTGCTGCTCTACCTCGGCAGCAGCTTCAAAGAGTCAGTCACATTGGCATTTCAGGACAAATGCACGGGATTGTATTTTGGAAAAAAGACAAAGGTAATGTTAATTCTTTGGCATTCCAGCAGAAAATAAATTTTTAACACTGAAGTGATCGTAGGAAACTCTTGCATGTTCACTTTGGTCTTCTGTAAAACAGAATTAACATGAGATCTTCTTCTGTGGGAATTTTGCTTTAATTACTGGCATTTCAGCCACTGACTATAGTTGTCTATGTTGATTACACATATTAGTTAAAGGATTTAGTCTTGTGAGATCCCTGCAGAGTCAGCACAGTTATTAATATGAAGGAGGAATAACATATTTGTGGCTTGCTAATTGCTTGTCCATCATATGCTATCTGCTGCCAGTTGAAAAAACTCCTGAATCATGTGAATGACTTTTTTTTGTGGGGAATGTTATTCACCTCATAAAACACTTAACTATCTGTTGCCCAGTATCTCAATACCTTCTAATGATTCTACAGTAGCAGTATTAGCAGTTCTGTGTATGCCTTGAAAAATAAGCTACGCTTGATCTTTATGTTAGAATGTGCATAGCAGTAGCAATCCAACAGTGAATATCACTATGCTATTCTGAAATGCTGTTTGAAAGTACAGTAGGAGAAAAACTGAAGTTCAGTAAACGATGTTTTCAGTCCTTCCCCCCATCCCACCTCCCCCCGCCCAATCTGAAGGCATTTTTTTTCCTAGCCAGTCATAGACTGTCATGTTGCATTCATCTTGCTGCTTATGCTTCTGTTAGCAGGAGCTGAAAAAGGATTATGGTCATGATTCTGAATACTCAGCTGCCTGTAGAATGAAGGGCCAAGACCTCAGAAACAAAATCAACCATAGTGAGGTAGTCACATGAGGCTTGATTGTGCAAATACTCAAATAATCTTTGTGACAGCGAGGGTGTTTGAAAAATTCAGGCTTTGGATTGCCAGCCCTGTGAGATAGGGATGGATTATCTTCTTGGCTAATGTCCTGTAAACCTACTGAAGTCTAAGGATTTCAGAATGTGGTTCCATGTCTTCTTTCTCTTTACCTTATGATGCTCACATCTGAACAATTATGCAAGTCTTATAATAATAGGAGTTATCAAGATTAAGCAAAGATTTATTGTAAACCACAGAATAGATTTCCCAAAAGTGCTGGTCCCTGCCTGTCAAAAGTTGTCAGGGTCTTAATTGCTTTAAGAGACACTATGCTATTCATTATTGGCTGTAATTTTATGTTAAATACTAAAATGATTAGAAAGAAAGAAATCCAAAGGCTGATGGACTGAAGGAGCTGTTGCTTGCTTTCCAGCTGTCCCAAGGGCTGCATAACAAAGCCTCATGGGTTCATGGTAGACATAGATTCTTATGTCATATTGGTTAATATTTTATTTCCTAAAGCCACATGCCACTTTTGTTTCATTTCTATCAAGTGAAAGAGGGTGTTTGCTCTTGCTTGTTTTGAGTAGACTAAGTGAATCCATGTACTTTGGGACACAAATTACATTTTTAATAGCATCCTTTAGGGTTAGATTTATGGTTAATAATATTTCTTAGAATCCATTTAAAACTAGAAAAGCAAACCAATTGGAAATTCAGTTCAAACAGACTTGATAGAACAGGGAATTAAGGGAACAAGAGAAAGTATGTGTTTGCTTTGCATGTTTCACATAGTACTTCCCAGCTTTCACGGCCGCTTTTTACTGTGTGAGTGTAACTTCAAATCCCTGTACCCAGCCCAAGAAAGACTCTTTTAGCTGTATTTGTCCTAGTCAGTTAAGCAGCTGGGTCTCTTCTCTGACCTGTAGGACAAGTGGCACAGCACAGCTGGAAACTCTGCTCCAATCCCTAGCCAAAAACCAAAAGGTTGCCTCAGTTACAGAGCTGCTGGAGAACGTGTGTATCCTCACATTGTGGCCAGGCATCACCTGGGAGAGCGGCAGTTCTCAGAGGCTGAAGCTGTGCTGTGGAGTGTGCTAGCAAACATCACATGCCAGTGCTTGAGCTCAGCCTCTGCTTAATTTGGTGCTCTGACAGGACCATGTGCTGCCTTTGCAGGACTGCTTGTGGTGAGCATGTCAGGGCAGCAAGTAGCACACTGGACCGGAGCAGTAGCAGACATTGCTGAGAAGGCTCTGAGCAGCTCTGAGAAGTTGCCATAATTTAGCTGAGGCCTTCACATGAAAGAATGTGAAGGTTTTATCAAAGGTGTAGTGTTCTGTGTTCAAAAGGAAGATCCTGGACTGGTAAAACTGAAAACTGAGTTAAACCCTATTCTACTTTGGGTGAAGCTTTGTTGCATGGCACAAGGGAGAGATGTTCTTTAGTACTTTGTGCTTCATTCCTTAATACATTTAGATCCAGGTTTCCTGTTGCGTTGGCTCAAAAGGTGATGAAACTATGTGCTATCCATCATAGGCA